TATATACAGTGGCACGTACGCTGGTACTCGGATTAGTGTCCACGGGATCCAAAACACTTTCTTCCATAACTACCGAATGCGTTGATCGTTACTCACTAATCCCTAACTAGTACCCTCACTAGTCCTGCTACTTCTTAATGACCCGTACTCGCATAAATTTCGATGCACACGTGCAAACACACCATGGTGCGGTTGATGTTTGTATGGAAGTATTCTCGATAAATTCGTTCAGTGGCTTATCCATTGCTCTCAACTATTACATACAGTGCATGTTTGCAAGCTTACCGCTCGTATACTGTTGCATGCTCTTCGTACGCTGACTACTGCTCGAATAAGGAAATCGTCACTTCCCCCCTCCAGCGCTCTTACGCAGAGCAGCAGCTTACAAGTAGCTGCTTCTTCTTAACAAACGAATTATGAAAACAGCGTTTTGACCGATTCACGCATTTCTCATTGCCAGAACGTAAGTTTAATTTGATTTTTAAGCTGAAATTTGAGTGCAAGTTTTATTAGTTATTTATTTTTACCTGTAGATTCATTAGGATTATCGATGGAGAAAAGTAAAAAAAATGAACAATAATCTCGCCGGCATTCGAACTACGGATATCCCCGATATGCGTTGAGTGTATTCCAGTTGCACGACGAAGACATACGGAAAGGAGGGAGATAATACCTTATATATTCCCCCCCTTTTAAAAAGCGGCTGGAAATTAGGGGATCCAGTTCCCAATCCTGGTTACGAATTACTTTTCGCCGTCTCTTTAGTTCGGGCGCCACTGTAGAGTAGTTAGGTTATATCGATGCAAGAACGTGAAAGATGTACAATGCCCTCGCCTGTATTCGAACGTCGGACCTCCCGAATACGCGTCGAATGGGCTTTCAGTTATATAACGAAGACATGTGGCAAGGAGGGAGAAAATATCTTATAATCATTTTTCCATATTAAGTGTTATGCATCTTGTGGGATGCTTCAGAAACCAGATGTAAGGAAATGATTGATAACTCACAAAATTTGTTAATTTGTACACGTATATAACGGTTTCTCAGATCATAGCATTTCACATTTGTTGCAATAAAAGAAAAATTAAGTTATATTAACATTAATAAACTTAATTAACTAAGTTATTTTCTAAGTATGCCAGTAAGTGATGAAAACATATGCAAATGAAATATTTGTATCTCATATCCTTGTTTTATTGTTAAAACCTTAAAAGTATTTTAATGTTATACACATTCTGAAAGCTCGCTTTTCCCTATTATGAGTCTAAATGAAAAGAAGGCATTTTTTATCATTTCTTTATGGATTCAGGCTTGGTTTCATTTCAGATGAAGAGAGGGAATAATACTTCATAAAACTGTTTGTTGATTTTATTAAGAGTCAAGTATTTTTATTCTTTTCTCTCCATTCATATGTAAGTAAACGTCTAGGTAATAAATAGCTAGTACAATTATTCACTGCTCTTAAGATATATGCTTCTATAATACTGTAAAGTTTGCGGTAAAATATAATAATAGTAACATTTAAAAAACAATAATTCACCCATTGAAGCAAGTTAGCATTAGTCTAAAGAATATGATCGCTAAGTAAAATACTTATTCCAAAAAAAAAAATGTAGAAAATAATTTTAAATACTTTACTTCAAAGATTCAAATATTCTATTCTATTCTTAACTTTTTATTGCTATTATTTACAGATTCTTTTGAAGAAGTACTTTAATTGCGATATAGCTTGAGATTTAGCAACTCGACTGAAGTGCATCTTAAAGGTTTTGTTTGAATATTCTTAAAGCGGCTGTGTAACATTCAAAATGAACAATTATTTCTTGAATAAAAGTGTAAAATCTACTTTAAAGAAGATTTTTATTAGTATTACTTCTAAAAATCTTTTCTAATGGCGGCTTTTAAAGCAAATTTGAATTGTTCATTCTTTTTCATATTTCTAATATTCGTCAAAAGAAATATTTTCCGCTACCAGAACACGGTTCAGGTTAGGTTTTATAAGGTAATTATTCCATGTAATCTTTCTCACACATAGCTAAATGTAACGGTCGAAGAAGTGATATGTAAATACCTAAATTAAACATTTATTTCTTCAACGAAACATTTTCCATGTAAATCTTAATTCTATGTAAATATGTAGCGATCTGATAGTGTAACTTTCTATAATTTTATCTAAATTTGTAACTACGGTTTAAGCAAGAAATATTCTCTCATTACGTTATAAGGTATTTCTCTCGCCTTCCTGGCGTGCCTTTGTGGTGTATTGGTGTGCACTCTGGACGCGTATTCCAGAGGTTTTCGGTTCAATTCCCGGCGAAAGCGTTGCTCATTTTTCACTTCTCCCGATTCCTAAAAATATCCTAATGCCTCTACAGTGGCGCCTGAACTAAAAGAGTGGTGGATGATGATTCTCCACACTCAGGATTTGCCGGCTGGGTCCCCTAAACCCCAGTTGCCCTTTAAAAGGGGGAGTATATAAGGTGTTTCTCCCGCCTTCTTAGCGTGCCTTCGTGGTGTAGTGGTCTGCACGGTGGGCGCGTATTCCACAGGTCCGTGGTTCGATTCTCGGCGAAGGCGTTGCCCATTTTTCATGACTCTTGTTTCCAAAAAAATACCTAATGTCTCTACGACGTATCTAAATATGCATCATTTTTACAGTACTCATCATACAATAAAATCTTTCTTTACTCTGAAGTAAAGAAGTTCGCTAAGAAGATCTATCTATATCTAAATATCAAGGTTTCGGAAACAAAAGTTCACTCTTGTGGGAAACATGCACATTATATATATATCCAAAATTATATTTGTATTTTAAGAGTGAGGGTACCGCTATGATGGCTTCCGACCGACCACAAAGGTGAATCAAACGGAATTATATACCGTCACAGCGGGGGGAAATCTCCAAAGGTACAATGTTGAATATTATGTACTAATAGCAGTTCCTATATTTTACAAAGCCTTTCTTGTCCAAAATTAGTTCATATTAATAATCGTAATGAGTACCTGAAACAATCGCTCAGATTTATACTTCTTGGTGAATGAAAAGAAGCACTGTTCTATGATAAACTTACCTTTAGTCTGAGGATTATTTAGCTTAATAGCTGCAGACTCCAAGCGTTTTCCTTATTATCTGCTTTATCTGAATTCTGATCGTTTCAAACAATATTATTCACTGTGCTTTCTGCTTGCACAGTGTCTTGAGATTTTCTCTATTTTATCAAGGACTACTCTATTTTTGAGTGTGTTGGACGTCCCCGTTGCCCAGGCACAGTCCACTGCTTTCTTTAAGTGTCAGTTTCTTATATTAACACAATGAAAGTAATAATGGTCCATGTCACCTTCCTCTTCGCACTAGCCGAAGGGTGTATTCCTAAGTCTGAATCTGTTGAGGTATCCTGGAAATGGCCCATGACGTGTCAAGAATTGTGTTAAGCTAGCATACTGGGTCTTGATTTCCATGTTAACTTTTGCCTATAAGAAAAATGTCCTTCGTCCTGCCTCTACCTCTACTTTGCCAATTCTGTAGCAAGCTTATGAAAGTTATTCTTTTAACATGAGACCAAAGAAGTTAAACTGGTCTTCCTAGTAATTCCGTGCCATTAGCTGCCTGCTTGGCCAGAAGATCAGCGGCTTCATTGCCTTATTTTAGAAACAACGCTGCCTGAAAATGTTAATATACTCGTGCAAAATTACACGAAATTAAAGTCATTCTTTCTATGTATCGTTGTTTTATAAATGTCAGCACATTCGGTTAGCAAACAATATTATTCACGGTACAAGGACTAGGTTTTTTGGGAGAGGGTGCGGTCGCATTTTTAAGGCTCCTGTTCACAAACAAACGTAATGGCTCTGTAAAAAACCTAAATCCTGCAATGCAGTAACCTTTTCTGACTCAAGAGCTATTCTGGATGGATAACAGAGGATATGAAGAAAGGCTTGCATTTATATAAGGTTTGCCGACGAAATTGATATAGCATTTGAATTAGAAGGATATTGCCACACAAACAAGTTTTACAAATTTCATGAATCTCCATGAGCTTTGAAAAATGTCTACGAGCAAGTGTTCATGAAAGTTACTTAAAGCAAAGCTGTTGTTTTTCTGAGCTTAGCTATGATGTAAGCTGTTTTTTATTCTTTCCCCGTATTTGAGATGTAAGCTGTTTAGCATTGAATGTAATTTTTTTTTACCTAAGCGAAATTTCCGCTGTTTAGTTATTAATTATATAATTAACATAACATAGAATTAAATTAGTGGTTTTCCCATTATATGTTTTCAATCATTCGTCAATTAATAACCACCTGTAACTAACATTGCTAGGAGTATCAAGATGGAAGTTTCGAGAACGCTATGGTAGCAAACCAGCTGACTGAATATTTCCGCTTTTCCCCTCTCACGAATATAATCTCAAAGCCTGTTTTAACTCAAAATCAACGTGGATTTTCTAGCTTTTAAATCTCATTTATTAGCTTAAGAAACTTTTAATTTATTGGCTTATAAGCAAAGCACGGAAAGGCTATGTGCCTAATGGGAGATCATTCTAAGGAAATCAACTCTCATTCACTGACTGGAAGCATGAGCATTTCCATGGTCAAAGACCATAAAAATGTTATTCCTTCCAGTCAGCTCCCCGGCGTTTGAATCTAGGTTGAATTACTAACTTTCAGGTGTCTTATCCCCTTGGCCACTGCTTAGTTATTAAATTTTGGGAAAAGCTTCGCTCCTGAGACCATCATGATATGCAGGTGAAGGGTACTGAATAATACTTCGAGCACGTGGTACTTTGATAAAGAAGAAGAAGAATTTCAATATAGTTTATAATAATATTTTATTTTTATTGTTTTTGTATCTTAATTCTTTGTCCTAAACTAAGTATCTTTTAAAATGGCTTTGTTTCGCATGTAGTCGTATGTCCCGAAACACAAGTTCTTTCAAAATAATTCGTTTATTGTCATTATTATTATTTATGTTGAAAAACTAAGTTTGTTTTTTATTCTTTCAGCCTCCACGGTGCAGCAGATCGAAGAGGAGAATACTCTGCTCATCAATGATCTTTATCGGCTCCTAAAGAAATACGCCAACCTGAGGCAAGTGGTTCATGCTCTGCACCTCTCGTATCGGGCTGCGCGCATGTACCCCATATTCCCTCGGTACAATATGCTGAAGGACATGATCAAGGACGCCCTCAGGGACCCCAGTTACATGGAGGTGTGCCACGAAGAGAGCTAAAGCCCCCTTCTGCCTCCCCCTCCCTCATCTCTCGCTCTCCGCCCCGGCACGCGTCGGCGCCAACTATGGTTATCTTCTCACTTATCGCGGGGCTAAGAAGATATACTCATCGAAGCTCTGGATGTTCTCTCCCACAAGTGACGGGGAGAGGCAACTTGCCCATAACACTCCGGCTGACATATGAAATTATGAATAAGAGACTTATATTTGCCAAAGAATTGCAGAAGAAAATTTACCTATGAGGCTTGAATTTCTATGAACAGATCTCGGAAAGAGAAAAAAATAAAAGATTGATTGAAAAATACACCTTTCTGAGCATACACGAAAGGCAAAAAAACTCTGCGTTTTCAATATAGTTAAAAATTTCGACCACAATTGTAACTGTGGTCGAAATTTTTAACGAATAGCGAAAATCCTTTCATAGCGAAAAGAAACCTGTCCAGGAAGACCAAAACATACGTATTCTATCAATACTATTGGAAATTAATTTTAACCATTATCAGCTTTGTTCATAATGAATTGACAGTTCTTACAGAGGAAATAGATTTCCACCGAAAGACTAGAAAGGTAGAAATTTTCAAAGGCTTATCATAACACGCGGTTATTATTGTCACTAATTTTCAGTATCTTTGCAGAGGATTTCAGCTTAAATTTTAATGACCTTAAGGTTTAAAATATTAATGATTTATAAGTTTTATTCTTTGCATCAAAACCTAACTAGTAACAGTTTATAATAAAATGAATTGTAATGATACAGTAAGTGTCTAAAAATAGCCTACTTATTGTGTCAGCTAAAAATTACAAGCAAACTTAACTCATGTCAGCTGAAGTCAATTTTAATTTAATAATGAAATTCAAACTCTGACAAATATAGCAAAGTTTCGTAAAGTAAGGCAGAGTAGAATCTAAACTGCTTGCTGAAACATAAAGAGTAGATATCTAGACTGTCAGCTGAAGGTAACTTCCTGAGCAAGAAATGAACCTGTGAAGCTTTTCAACACTTTCCGAATCTGTTCATGAATCCACGTCAACATAGATGGTGTCACCGGAAAGAAGCCGTTATCTTCAGGATTTTGAAGATAAAGATTTCTGCCAGAAAAATTTAACCAGATCTATACCTATGGCCCGCCCTACTTAATGCGCGTGCGAATGCATTCCACGTGCACATGGATTGTAACGGCCGAACAATCATGGTGAAGAAAATCCCCAGAGCAACGTGAGAGAGAGGGAGAGAGGGCGGGTGAACAGAAGTTCCACTGCCAAAATGAAGGTCATCTCTACAGAGCTGCGCCACGTTCATTCAACGAACAGCGTCTTGGTGTTCTTTAAAACCTCCCCAGCATGTTCTTCCTCCAACGGCGTCCGCCCTAACCAAGGGCGACAAATATCTAGCTTTTTAAGATTGACTGTTTCTAGTTTTCAAACATCTCGTTGTCGAATGTTTTCATTTTAAAAAAATAGAGCGAGGACGATTAGGTTTCGCTGTGGTCAGAGCAGGTAGCTTTCCATATAAACGGGCCTGATTGTTATATTGAGAGAAGTGTAGACGCGATGATAATGCAGCATCCTATAAGCACTGAAGAGTTTAATTGTAGTGCATGATTAAGTTAGAATACAGTATAATTGAAATCATATGCTTAATATACGTTAATTTTGCGTTTCAGTAAGTTGAAATATTCTGAATATTTTTCTTCTCGTTGATAAGATCGAATTTCTAGTTTATTGATTTTCAATAACAGTTTAACAAAACAAAATGTAATGTTTCATCCAAAAAAGTGTTTAATAGTTGGCTGAATGTTAAGAGGGATATAAGTATGAATTACTTCCTAAATGTTAGTTAAGCATCGTTGTTTTGTTATGTAAATCTATTTCACAAAAGGTAAAGAATTTTTCTTTCTCATTTTTTTACGAAATACCTGTACATGAAAAATGTACAGCTGGCAAGGCTAATGTTTACTAATGTTTATTTCTCCAATTTTATTACTGATATACACTTTCTATAACAACGCCAAATATGATCAAATGAGTGAATAGTTTGACTATATTCCCATTTTAAAGTCATTTATGACGCTTAAACTGCAAATTAAATAAATTAATATATCATTATATCTTACCGTTTCCCTTTCACGAAATGTAGTTAATTAATATTAATATTTGTTCGATTAGCGCAAAGATAAAACTTCATAATGTTGATAAAGCTTATTTGAGCTTCTCTGTGCTGATGTTGTATCTATTTATTCCCTCGGGAAAATTTAAAGCATCTTCTCATTTTGGATAATTACCTTAAAACTTTACTTTTTATTATAGTACCTGAAAACTAATGAATGGTTCTGATGAAAAACTGTGAGATGGAAAAAATTGTTTAAGAAGAATTAGATCAGATAATATTAATCCTTTTATCTTATACATTTCTTTCAGAAAATTCCTTTGTATTAGAGTAAGTTGTCAATGTACGTTTCTAATTTGCAGTAAAATTCCTTTACATGAGATTAAGTTGTCAGCGTACATTTCCAAGTTATAGTAAAATTCCTTTACATGAGATTAAGTTGTTAGTGTACGTTTCCAATTTATAGTAAAATTCTTAACAATCGTAGCAATAGAGTTTAACGCTCCAAAGAATTCCATTCTTGAATTATGCTCCTTTTGGTGAGTACATTTCACAATGGAAATTACTAATAGGCAAAGTACACTTAATACTTAAATTTAAGATATATGAGAGTGAACGACGCTTTCAACATTATATGAAAATAATAATAATTAACTTTGTGTTTAAATGTAAATGAATGTAAGTGAGCTATTAAAATATAAACCGACGTTATTAAATTATTATTAAACTAAAGATTAATTATACAGGTAAAGAAGAGCAAACGTTATCATGCATTTCTCAACTTCTTATACGTACATATCGCTTCCGTTTCAGAAAGCTTTCGTTCTAAGAGAAAAAAAAAACAGATAAATTACAAAATAAGCAATTGAAACGAATGTGGATAATATTTATAGAAGTTTAAATAAATTAATAATACTTGAGGTATAAAAATTTTTAAATAATATTACTATGTAACAAAGTTCATCGATTACTTCTAATAACTAAAATATTCAGAATGTTTCATCTAAAACATTAGAAACGCATAGTGAATTTAACACATTAAACGCTACCTCGGTCCATAGCAACCGGCCTTAAACCAAACAAAATATGTTTCGCGTTTAAAGTGTTAAGTAGTAATTTTTATTATGTAAAATTTATTATTAAGTCATGTAAAATATAATAACTATTATTATTAGCTAGCAAACTCTTGGTGGTTTTTCATTGCTGGATTTAGAATAAAAGGCAGTAATAGATGTACTATTATATTGTAGTAAAAAATTATTATTCCTTCTTCTTTATTACGAGAAAGTTTTTTAAATATGTATATTTAATATTATGAATGAATGTACACAGGGAATAATTCGCTTAGTTTTCTCTACGCCCCGTATGAAATATCTTTAGAAACAATAAGACTAGAATAAAAAGAATAATGTCGAACGCGGAGAAATTTCTGCCAATGCACCAATCAGGCCCCGCGAAACTTTTCGTCGACTTAGAAACTATCTAATTTCTTTTAAATACTTCGGCGAAACATTGACTCCCCTTGGCGAAGCTGGGTTATGTCCTTTAAGGTCACTCTTAGAATTTAGACTTAAATAAAAACGCAAACATTTTAGGATGCAACCAAAGTCAAAGGTTTCCGTGGCAAATTTAGCAAATCGATTCAGATTAATCGTAAATATCAACTCGCGGGTTGTGTAGCGGAAACACGATGTAGGCGTATAAGGAGTAGGATTTCACTGCACGGGATAGCCATTAACAGCCAGAATTTAAAAAGTAAATAAATACAGAAAAGCAGCACAATCGCAGTTAAAGTTTTAGACAGCCAATTCGTAACTGTTTTTTCCGCATTTCTTTTTCATCTTTACGGGGACCACTTTTCCAGTCAGAACAGAAGGCTGGAAATAACTCGAAAATATATTAAAAATATATATGTATAAATAAGTGAAATAAAAAATATAAAGATATTTTACTCTAATGAATATCGATATAAAAAAAAGAATAAGACATATTGGCACAGCATTTGGAATGGCTCGATTGAAACGAAAGCGAGAACTTCAAGAAAAATACAAGCTTATATATAACATATATATACACTTCGACGATGTGGGGGAAATCTTTTTTATGGCGCTGCGATAAAGAGGAGTATGCTGGCTCAAATTGTTTATTTTTATCGTATATGAAGTGATTTGCTGCATGTTTGGAGATCCGTTATGACGCACAAAAATTTAATTTTCATGCATCTCTCCCTACCTGAAAAGACCAATCTCATTTATAAAGACAGCATACAACAAAGCCACAGAGAAGATAATAAGAGCGTCTCCTAATGCCCTCATTATAGGCGGCCTCATTTCCTAAACGAAAATAAACAAAAATGTCATACTACACCCTGTCTTAAGTGTGACATTCAAGTAATTATTTTCAACACCTAATATATATTAAGCAAACATAGTGGAAAATTTAAATAACTAGAGTTAGATAACTGAAACTGAAGATGAAAATAATAAAGAACGTGTGACTAATATAAGCCGATTTCTACAGCTAACTGATATCTAGCTGAAATGAAAAAGTTCGAGCAACTGAATTAATACAAAAAAAAAAAAAAAAAAATTCTTTATTTAAGAATCGTGTTTTCCTTTAATTTGGTTGCTGATTTTACACTGAAACTACATAATCTCTCTGGATTGGGATAAGATTTGAGTGTGCAAAAAATAAATTTCAAACAGTGTTAAAAAATTTAAATTCTTATAATACAAATATAAATATTTTTTTATTTTCAGTTATCAGAATTAAATTGTTTTTTCGTTTTAAAATTACGACATCCTATAATACATTTTTTTTCCAAGCATATAGTATCTGTATAATTTCTAAACTAAAATTTATCTGTCTTTTTTATCTTTAAAATTTTGGAACAAAAATACATAAATTGTATTTGAGAATGTATTTGAGACTTTATTTTAAATTTAAAACGTTAACTGAATTTTTCTGAAATATATACTTTGCTTTTATATATTTATACGAAGCCCACAGAAATATAAAATATGAACAAAATTAAAATGTAACATTTCTGAAAAATGTACTACATTCTGTATAGAATCAATTTTTTCTTACTTTGATTACTAATATATTATATATTAGTAATTAGTGTTATCATTTTCTCCGAAATTTCTTTACTTATCAAAAAATGGGCTTTCTTTTGTCACCTTTTGTTTAAGCCGAAATTGCTGGGAAACATAAAATTTGTCTTTCAAAGTTAAAAATTACCATTCTAATAGAATTATTTTTTCTCGTAAAGTCACAAACGTTTCCCAATTCATTACTTCTAAATTTCTGAATCACAGAAAAAGTTTTTTGTTAATAATTCCAATATGCTTGCTGCATTCATATTATAAGTAATACATAATTCTTTTCGCAAACTGAAAACCTTTCGTTCTTTGTCTCTGCATTCTTTCGTCAGTCTTTGCCTATTACACGTACAAGTTTAGAAGATTTTTTTTTTTTTTTTTTTTTGACAGTGATGAACAGTCTCAAAGTGGAACTCAGTTGAATAAATTAATCACTGGGAGAAGCTTAACTGGTTTATATTACATCACTTAATTTACCAAATTTTAAATCACTTAATTTTCTCAATTGTTTTTTATGTACTCGCTAATTCTAAATAAAGAGTTTTCTGAAATTTTGACATATATCGAGAGTATTTTACAAAGCTTTCATTATTCATTCTTTTTTTTTTTTTTTCCGTGGTGTGCAAGTAAGGTTTCAAGTAATTATTGCCATATGAAATAGCGATAGCACAGAACGTATGCAAACTTTACATTTCCAAATAGAAACAACTATCAAACTACATAATTATTTCAAAGTGAAAAAATACTGTTTTAATTTATATATGTATATTTTATAGGTTAAAGTTAGCTTATTTTTATTTCGTAAATCTGACAACCTGCGTCATAACGAGATTTGCCGCTATTTATTCCGTTGCCTTCTGTGACGTATCGTCTTCCATTGTTTTCCACTGAGAATATTCTCGCTGAATCTCGTCGTTTAAATCGTTGCCATTCCGTGAGTGCTAAATACATGAAAGAAAAATTGTGATTCTCCATCGACCAATCCAAATTTCGGTCTTGTTAAGATATTTTTATAGGAGCGGAGTGTATTTTAATACCGCGTTCTCGTTTCTCCGGGCAAAATCTGCAGAAGAAGGAAAACGAGCCCAAGTCGTACTTTGTCGAAAGGAAAGAAACCCCAAAATGCTCAAATCGCTATCAATCACCTCGGCAAAGCATATCAGGAGGGTACAAAGTATATTCCAAAGTATGACGTTCGAAACGCGCATTTATTTTTTGGCGGGGAAGTCCTCCGCGTTATATATATCTGCATCCGAACGTTAACCTTTTTCGAAAGGCAGACGAAGATTGGTTTCCAGTTCAGGAGACCCTCGGGAATAGAGTAAAAAAAAAAAATTGAATTGATATTCATATATGTTTATTTTTCCTGCCATGAAAGTGAATCAGCACTTTAAGGAATAAGAAAGTCGTAATATGTATAGAGATCTTTTTCCACCAGGAAGACACATTTATATCAAAATACATCTTAATTTTGAGACATCTTAACAATGAGATACCAAATATATTTAATCAGTTTATAGTTAATATGAGAAGCGTAACTGGTTGTAGAATATTTATTTTTTTGAATTAATATTTTAACAGACATTCTGGAAAGAAAACTAAAGCATTAGTAACCCATATAAAATAATTAATGTTTAAGATGAAATTTTAAACTAGAATAAATACCGGAAACTACTGTATGTAAGAAGAAATGCTTTAAATATTAATCCGCAGACAGGTAAATTTAGCACTTTATGTATTACTTTAATTCCTCCTTCAGACACACAGTGAAATATAGTTGCTACCATATAACTTGCTTTAATTAATTTTTTATTAAACGTAATACGTGAAACATTTAACATATATATATCGATAATGATGTATAATGAGTGGAATATATTGACACCTTACTAAACATTTAAATAACTCGACTTCATTTTCTACACATCATCGCTTACCTTCAACAATTCTAAATGATTGAAAGTAATAAAATTTCTGTTTTACCGTAATCAATAACTAAATTTTTAACATTTCATTATGCTTTATGTTATTTAGTTAAAAATTCAATAATTAACAAAACATGTTATGTTATTTTAAAAGCTTACTTTTCAAGAACATTAGTTCTATTAAGAAAGCATATTTAAATTCTAAATATCTTTTGTGTTGCATTCGCTGTAAAGATCAAATATTATATACTTTGTTCGATATTTTATAGTTGCAAAATTAACAGTTACTGCAAGTTTTAAATGTAATAAAACATCAATTTTTAAAATGATAAAATTCAGAAATAATATTTCTTTCAAAATGCTGTGAATTTTGTTTGTGAAAAGCTCATTCGTATTCGAAGCTTTATTACAATAACAATTCTTATGCTGTTTTTATGCTTACAGTACTTTTAAGCTTTGTTATTCCTAGTTTGTTTTATTTCAACCAGTGAACTTTGATAGTGTTTTAGTGCATTATCTTACTAATTTAAACCTCAAAGAAACAAAGAAGCTTTTCATTATTGTATATTAAAAGTAGTGATTTATGTCTGTTACTGTAATTTAAATTTGAATAATTATAATGTAACATAAACTCCTTGAGGTTACATATTTGTTTCAATTATTACAGTTTGCGCTTTTGTGTATTTTATTTATGTGTTACTGCTGCCAATTTTTATGCTCTCTTTAAAGGCATTTTTCTTTCCAGCAAATGGCTAGGGATTTTATTTTTCAAAATAAATCTTCAAGTCTTACTTGAGTTTCATCATAAAAATTGTATTTATATTTTGATTTATCTAAATCTATTAGATGAATATTAGTTACATAAAATGTTTCTGTGTAGTTTTTGGAACAGCTAATCACTAATACAAAAAAATGCTTATATATTTACTTTTTAGTACAATGTATGTATTATCAGAAAATGTAAGTACATGTTCTAAAATACCTTCATTCCTGGTGAAATACTAAATTTTAAAATTATTGTTTTATATATGTACACATATAGTACATGAAATTTTAATGTATTATATATATTATGTGAGTTAGTATTTGTATTTAAAGTTTATCAGATAAAAGTGATAACAGTTCACTTGTTTCATGGCAAAAGAAAAATGTTATACAACTTTCTTGGAATATCTAAAAGATACTGGGAATCCTGTTCTTGAAGAATGCATCGAGAATGATTGGTTACGAATTTCAGATTTTAAAAAATGAATGTCGTGTTTGTGTCAAAACTTAATCCATCGTCCTTTTTCGCCATTCCAGTTCTCATTCCAAATGCCACCTTCAGGTGATCTCGCAAAACCAACTTTCTCTCCATTGAATTGCCTACTACTCACTGTGAAATGATGCCATCTTCGTCTTAGGGACGAAGCTGATCATCGAAAGGAGGGTATTCGAGTGTTATTTTCTGTCACAGAGAATTTAAAACTCCATCAAGAAAAGAAAAATATATGCTATAAGCTTTGGACAAAGAAAGACAGCTCAGTTGCCTGTTAAAGATTCAGTTACAATATTTGCATATTTTCCAAATGATATAGCTTTGAAACTTAAATCAGTGTTAGAACAGTTATTAGCTATGCATATTAGTACAAATCCTTCACGATTGAAAATACAAAATTTTTTATCATTAAAAGTTCGTTAGTTCCTGGTATTTTCTCTTTTCCGTAATTATGGTAGTTGAACCGAAAATGCTGGTAACTGGTTATAATTATGTAAAATCAGTTGAGACACTCAAATTATAATTAAACTTAAATTTCCCAGCTTTTAAAGCTTATTAATTCGCTTTTGCATTTAATACTGGAGTTCATGCATTTTGTTCACACGTAACAATATGTCAAACAATTTCTTAAGCTTGAAGCGTAACGAGTCCTTAAGCCTGAAGATTTGGAATTAGTTTGTTATCTTATAAAGACCATGTGAAAGTTCTCTATGTCATGTCATGGTACTTGATCCATTTTTTGAGGATTCCTGATTTAATCTTTCTCAATAAGAATAATCATAATGTTTTCCCTGAGATAATATTGTTTCTGGAATGGAATAGGAAATATCATTTGCTAGAGTTTAGAAAAAAGCATTGCTGTAAATAAAATATTTTTTATTGTTAAAATTGCAAAATATTTTGCTTGAAAAATAAATTATTTTGAAAGTTTTAAAAAATTTTATTTGTTTTGTAGGAAAAAACGTTTTTGTTTCAATGAGCTTAAATAATAAACATAATTATAAAGGAGTTTCACTTTTTTAAGTTCATAGGCCTAATGAATAAGAAAAGAAAAAACTCTGTTCTATCTTTTGATAATTATATCACTTAGCGGAGAAAGGAATAAGACTATTTTAAAGCTAAAAATTTTCCTGCAGTGAATACTTTTATGAAAATATAATTCTCGAAATTTCTCTTATATGCAACTCTTCAGTTTATGACTTTGTAATATTACAGTAAATTGTAGACTTGATTTGGTTAGAATTGTAGCATATAAAAGCGATTTTTTTTAATTTATAAATAACATTTTAGAATGTTTTCTATAAAATAATTTAAATAGCTTTTGTTTAGTATAAATAAAACAGCTTCTGTTTCAATTTTTTTAGAAGAAAAAAGTTGCTAAACAGAATTCTAAACAATATTCTGTTTGACAATACTAAACAGAGTATTGTTCAGAAATATCCCGAATATTTCTATTATCACTTCAAAAAATTAAAACAGAAGAGAG